ACAAACACACATCCAGAGGATGGACACAGAACAAACATGAGGACAGGATAAAATAAAACAATGACATTCTCTGTCAACACTTTTCTGTCTCTCCCAGTCTCTGTCTCTGTCTTCCTCTGTCTCTCTTGGTCTCTCTCTCTCTGTCTCTCTCTCTGTGTCCCCCCTCTCTCTCTCTGAGAGAGCATGCAGTACTGCTCCTATCCCTCTAAATTCCATTATGTTTCTGCTTCCTCTATCCATGTTGCAGCCCCCACTGTGTCCGTAGCATACAGCACCTCATGTAAGAACAGGGCATGGACATGGAGGAGTGAGATGCTTTTCCTCCTTTGATGAGAGGGACTGTCATCCCATGTGCTCAAGTCCATGGGAGTCAGCCCGCTGTGGGGGCTCCCTCTGCTGAGCCCTGGGCAGCCTTACCTGAGTGCTCTTGGCTGCTATCAGAGGTCTTCAGCCTAGTTCTGTCTCTGAGACTGGTGCCATGTTTGAGCTGGACTTTGAGACATCCACACTTGAAGCTGAGAAGGGAAGGGCCTTTTCTCCCCCACAGAGGGCGTTTGGAATGAGGCCTGTGGCTCTCTCTGTCAGGTTTGGGTGATTGGGAGTGAATAAAGCAATGCTCCATCCCTAGAGGAAGTGCTTCCATGAAGAGGGCTGCCAAGTTTGTGTTCCCCTGCGGTGGGTGGATTTCTCAAAGGTTCTAATTAGAGACATAAATGAAATATTCACAGTCTGTATTCTTTCTGGGCATTGATATCTTAGGATCTTCAGAAAGTCAGTTCTTGTAAAGTGCTCACTTCTAGGGCTCTATCCTTGGTTAAGTATTTATATTTTATCATGTCTGATAAGGTGATACTTACAAACATACATTATATGACATCACAATAAACAAATATTATGTATCACATAGCAATGAAATATAAAATTTTGTCAAGTGAAAGTAGAAGTTAAGGTCAGAATGAATTTGATGCAAAAATCTAGCAAGTACATTACTAGAAATCGGATTACAAACCAATTAATATCACCATCATTGATGTGGCCAAAGAACAAAATGGGAGCCTTCTGTCAATTATTAATCAACTACCAAACCCAACTGCAATGGCTTCTATAACAATCATGTGAATGGTGCACAAAAAGTACTTGACAAAATTCTAAAAACGTGAATGAGTGTATAAATTCCCAATAAATCCCAAGTTAAAGTGCTTCTCCACCTGATGAAAAGTTTTTATCAAAAGATTTCATCACAGTCGATAAGGTGCCCAATATTAATCTTGATCTGTCATGTATTTCAACTGATCTTTCTACAAATGACTTTGCTCTTCTACTCATTCTTCTGTTTATAACTGTTAGACTAAGCTCATCAGTTAATAAAAAGAAATCTTAAGGTGTTTGATGTGGCAGCGATAAATCCACTCAGTGTTTTGAAAAGTAATAACTGATGAAGGGTCTTCTGAACTTTCAATACCATGGATCTCTCTAAGCATTGACTCTTCTTTTTCTTCTTCCGGCTTCTAGAAAGAACCAAAATGACTTGTAGGGCCAGCATGACTGTTCAGTAGGTAAAGACTCTTTTCACCAAGTATGAGTTTGATACCTAGAACATACAAGGTCAGAGGAGAGAACTCACTCCTGACAGTTATCCTCTGACCTTCACAAGCACACCATGGCAAACATGTACACACGCGCGCGCGCGCGCGCACACACACACACACACACACACATACACACACACATATACACAAAGACATACACACACACACAAATACACACACAGAGAAAAAGACAGAAATTTAATTCTTTTTAAAAATGTCTTATAGACATTGACATAAGGACATTGTATACATTTTTTTTATTGTTTTTCTTTCTTTTCTCTTTTTTCTGGTAGGGTCTCACCATAAAGAACATGATGGCCTTGAAATCCCATCTTTTTGTCTCAGGCTTCCAAGAGCTGGGATTAAAGATCTCACTCTACACAGAGGGGTGCAGTAAAGAAACTGTAAACATTACCACTCCATGGTGTGCTCGAAGGGAAGGAAGGTTTTTATTGTTGATCTGAGACAGAACAGCCAGAGGATCTGGAAGAGGTCAGAGCAGACAGAGCACATATCCAGGGCTATCTGTGAGAGAAGAGTGAATAATCAGAAACAGAATAGAGAAGCATAGTGAGAATCGCTAGAGCAGAAAATAGTGAGGATATGAGGAGAGCTGAGTTATAAGAAGGATGAGTAGCTATGGGGTGGGGGAGCCCTGAGCTGGAGGGAATAGAAGGGCTAGGACCCCAGCATGGGCATGTGTAACAGGTACTTGTGATACTGAAGTGAGATTTGCTCTGATATGCTGGTGGGTACCACAGATAGCCAAATAGCCCTTCAGTTGGATATAAGGGAAATTACTCCTTTCAGTAGATGGGACCGACTTCACAAATTCCTGAGGAACGCTGGGTTTATCTACCTGCCAGAAATACTATAGTCCATCTTGAGCTCATATCTAAATATACAAACAGCCATTTAGAGTTTGGGAAATTGGGGTTTCCTTTGGATCTGACACTCACCAGCATGACTGGCTTTATATATGATACATTATAAAGTGGACTTTTAAAAAAACATTGACTCCAAATTTCATTATTGGTATACAGAAAAACAATTTAGTTTTGAGTATTGACTTTACACACTGTGATCCTTAAAACCTGAGATCTTGCCTTTTTTTCTTTATGGGTTTTATGTATTTATTTGCTGGCTTTGGTGTGGTTTTTGGCATGTCCCTTGGCATTTTTTAATTCCAGAAAATGCTATTAATGATCTTATTTTCCATTTCGATCTCTGCATTGTCTTGTTCTTGCACCATTAGATAGGACATCAGCTCAATGCTGAATTAGGGTGATCAGAACATTCCTCTAACCTTGTCCCCAGGGTTAGAGAAGAGAAGGTTAAGTATTTCTTCTTAAATATAATGTTTGCTGCAAGGTTGGGGATTGATTGATTGATTGATTGATTGATTGACTGATTAGTTGACTGACTGATCCACTGATTGATTGATAAAAGCCCTTTCTAGGTGGAGAGAAAGTACCTGGCTGCAAACTCTGTACCAAGAGGGAAAGCTAATAATCCTCTCATGTTCTGATAAGACATGGCTGCTCTTGGTTCCAATGAGGCTAGTATCCCTGCCCTTCTCTCAGGGTTCCTTCAGATCAGTCAAAACAGCCACCCACTAAATTCTGAAGACAAAACCCCTGGAACCAATCTAGTACCAGCTGTTTCAGGAAGTGGACTGCTCTACAAGCTCCTGCTTCCTGTAAGCCCAGCCCTTTCTCACCAAGGAGCTTAGGCCTTACTTCATCAGAGAGTCCCAGAGTACTATCCTGCTGTGAGGCTCTGGAACTCTGAAAGAGCTGATTATCACCAGCTCTTTACTTCCTGGTTGCCATTTGCGGGAGAGCCATCCCTATAAATTCCTGTCCTTCATTGTACACTGGTGTGCGATTCTCTACTTCAGGCTCTAGTCTGTAGGCTGTTTGAACCAATTACAGGAGTTTATACTGAGGATTTATATGTAAATAGAGACACGTGTCTTTTCTATGAAACTCTAGTGCTAACCCTTGGAGTGCCAGATAAGATTGTCCTGCATTTTTATTGGTATTTGCTGCCTTTCAGTTAGACACAAATAGAAAACCTCATCTCTGCCCTGTTGGAATCAGATGTTTACTAAGGAGAGGCATTCCCTTGTGCAGTTCTCGTGTGTTCCACACAGTGTGTTTTTAACATGTGATCTCCTTGATCACTCTGCCTTGTAACTGGACTTTGTCCATGTATATGAAGGCTGTTGATTACTATTACTTAATTGTAAATACTCATAACTTGCTGCATTATTTCCTACATTTGAATTAGTTTTACATTTTTTCTTTAAAATCTTTATTATGCCACCATATCCTCTGCCTATAAAGACAGTGGTGCTTTATTGTCTGAAGCTTCCAGTGTCCATCCCCGAGTGGCATTGTAAGGATGGAAAAATTTAGCCTAACTCTCCCTAGACCCTGCCCCCTAGCAGTGAGTAGGCAAAAGGTCACATTCTTGACTGTTTCCGACATGGCTGTTTACAACAGCACCTGTGAGTGAGTGAACACAGGACATGAGCCTTGTCACACCTCCCAGAAGCCCTAGTGAAAGTAGACTTCCTGGGCTAAGCACATGCTTGTATAGTTCAAATTGATTGGCCCGCACTGGATGCTATGAGATGATTAGTTTGTGATGCATGGGCTTTGTTGTAACCCTATAAAAGCTGTCTGAACCCTGTACCCAGAGTTCCCCAGTCCTCTGCCCCCACATGAGTATGGCTGCGGACTTGGAATCCCAGTGCACTTGGAATATAAAAGACCTCATGCTTTTGCATCAAGATCACTTCTCGTTAGTGATTGGGGGGGGCGCTTTTCCTGAGTCAGGGCGTGAGGGTCCACGCCCTCTGCGGGTCTTTCAGCATCAGTCCCAGACTGGTGCCCATTCTGAGGAGGGAAAGTCCAACAGGACAGGAAGGGACCAGTGGGTCTGCAAAGGAGCACTCTGAGCTGGGAAATGTAGAAGAGATGCTTAAGCCTGGGACAGACAAAAACTTGCCATTTTCCCACCAGCAGGTGAACTAGATGCACCTCATCAAAGGCCAGAGAGAGATCAGAGAAGGGGGATCAACTCTAAAGTCCTGTAAAAACCCCAGGGTATTGTGGGAGCAGGCCTCTGACACACTGGGGGGACCACCTCAAGCCATAGTGCACCCTGTTATCCCAGGGTTTCTTGTCTTTGAAATAAGTCCCTCAGAATAAGACCTTTTCAGAGATGACAAATTACTGCTTTTATGAAAATGAGCATCTGCCAGCAAGAGATTTACAAACACAATAATGATCATTTGTTATTATTAGTCACAGGGAAAGCCATGCATTAATTCTATACCAATCTATGCATTGTTTTCTCTGAAAAGATGTCTGGGAGTCCTTTCAGCTCTTAAATTTTCATAGTCTAGCATCTGAGAATTATCTTCCTTAGGGCTCCTTTCATGTCACGATTTCTCAGGCTGTAGATGAAGGGATTGACCAGTGGTGTCACCACTGTGAAGATGACAGTGGCCACTGTGTCCTGTAATGAGTAGGAGGATGAAGGACGCATATAGACCCCCAGGATTGCCCCATAGAAGAGAGAGACCACGGTGAGGTGAGACCCACATGTGGATAGGGCTTTCTTTATCCCATGAGTAGAGGGCATCTTCAGGACATTAGAGAAAATGTAAATATAGGAAACAACAATACATGAAAATGGTGTCAGGAATATCACTCCACCTACAGTAAAGACCATCAGGTCATTGATGAAGGTGTCAGAACAAGAGAGCTTCAGGATAGGGTAGGGGTCACAGAAGAAATGGCGCACTGCATTGTGGGAACAGAAGGTGAGTCGAACCATGAGGAGAGTGTGCAACAGAGCATGCAGGTTTGTGATGACCCATGATACGACCACCAGGAGGACACAGAGTCTGGGCCTCATCATCAGGGTGTAGTGGAGTGGGTGACAAATGGCCACATAGCGGTCATAGGCCATCACACTCAGGAGGAAGCCGTCCAGGTTGATGAATGTGATAAAGAAATAGATCTGGGTCATACACTCTGTGTAAGAGATGGACTTGCTTCCCAACACTTGATTTACCAGTGCTTTGGGGATGGTGACTGAAGAAAAACAGATGTCAACACTAGAGAGGTTGGCCAAGAAGAAGTACATGGGTGTGTGGAGATGAGGATCATGGTTGATAGCTAGGATAATGAGAAGGTTCCCAGAGATGGTAACGATGTACATCCCCAAGAACATTCCAAAGACGACCTCTTCTTGCTCTGAGTTTCCAGAGAGTCCCAGAAGGAGGAATTCTGCAACTGTGGTCTCATTATCTCTAGCCATGTCTGTGGGGAAAAAAAGTATGGCCAATTAGTAAGATAATTTGCCAACATTTAAGCAAAAACAGTTTCTATTTTGTATTGGTTGGCTAGTTGGTGATGAGTAAATACTAACACACTTCCAGTATTGTAGAATCATAAAGTAAAATCCCTGTGCCATTCTAGTGCTCATACCTTCTGAGCTACATTCCTGTTTCCTAGGTTCCACATGCAGGACATTCCTACATAATATTCATCTTTGTCCAACAATTAAGGCGATGAATTTAATTTATAGATGATGAAATTTAGGTTGGGACCTTTAGGTCATTGAACCACATTTGCAGAGCCAATGGAATAAAGTGCAAGACAAGTTTAGTGCTTTTTCTTTAGCCTGCATGTTAACAGCTTTCATCTATGGAAATTTTAACCAAGGAGCAAGTGCTGTGTCGGGTCTCTATACTATAACCCTGAAGCTTTTGTCTCTTTCCAACTTTTGGAGAGTTGGAAAGTGTATGGCCTTTGAGAACCTGCCTGGTGGTTTTCTTGGTGTCATATCTGTCACTGGGCTTATGCAAGGGCCATGCAAGGGCCATGCAAAGGCCTCAGTGTGAGCATTACCACCTCAGAGAAGGAAAGCCTCCTGTGAGCACACTGGAGTGTTTTTCTGAGATGAAAAGCAATTACCAAATGATAAAGAACAATTTAATGCAGTCTGTCCCAAAGACTAGCCTGGCCTGATAAGCCCTTTCTGTGGAGTGGACACAGGTGGCAGGCAGAGGAGTTGGGGGATGTCAGGTAAGACATCTGGTCTGCAGTGCTCCTGGAGGAATTCAAGGTGTTTGCCCAGAGAGGCAGAGCACTGCTTGCCTAGCTGATCAAAGGCCTTGGGACAAAGGCAAAGAGGCAGACCTGCTATGTCAGTGGTTCTTAACCAGTGGGTCACGCCCCCTTGGAGGTCACATATCAGATAACCTGTATACCAAATATTTACATTACAATTGATAACAATAACAAAATTATAATTATGAAACAGCAATGAAAATAATTTTTTGGTTGAGGGACCCCACAACAACAACAACAACAACAAAAAAACTGTGTTAAAATGTCACAGCATTAGGAAGGTGACAAGCACTGCTCTATGTGATGAGACCTGACTGCTGGGCTATACAGGAGCATCTGGGGGACTGGTTATACATGGAGCTTGCTCTGGGTATGGTGACTAATCCTGGGAGAGTTACATTCTTGAAATTAAGGGGAAATTACCGAGATAAAGTATCATTAAAATATTTATTGCAGTATTTATTATATTTTGTGTATAAGTGTTTTGCTTGCAGTTATGTTTGTACATGCATCTGCCCTGTGCAGGCCAGGAAAAGGGCGTTGAACATCCTGGAATTAGAGTTATGGATGGCGGTGAGTTACCATGTGGGTCACACACCATGTGGGGTACTGGGAACCCAACCCCTGTTTCCCAAAAAGTAGGAAGTGTGCTGTCCATCTAGCCACCAAGAAATACTTATTTATTTATTATCATTATTTTTTTTAACCTAGAGTAACTCCTAGAGCCACAGTATATAGAGCAGGGGTAGAGAAACCTAGACAATGGGCCTGTGGCCTTGATGGCTTATGGCAACCAAATATGCTGATGGGTAAAGGAGGAAGCTTTGACACATACTGTCAAAGACAGATGCAAGAGTGACTAGACTAAGGACAGACAGTTCCCAGAGCAGAATCAAAGAGAATAGAGGAAATGTAGTCTGAAGGGGAATTGCCCTACACACTTGGAATGGAATTCAGATCATACGCTGAAACAAGGTGAAATTCTCCTGTGCTCTTCTACTACAGTATTTGTGCCAGGAGGTGGCCTGGCATAGGCATGTTTCCTGCTGGAAAGTGATGGTGACACTTAAGCAAGCTGCACTTCCTCAGAAAAGCAGTGTGTTCAGACATATCACACACCTAACTGCTCTCACTCTGACTGGATACTTGCAGGCATCTTCTGAAGCAGAAGTCAGCATCCATGGCAGCTTCCCTGTAGAGAGACAGCCTTACTACCATTGACAGTGATGCCCAGCTTTCAGGGTTACGCCAGTTGACATCTGTTTCATCCGTTAGCCTCTTAAGAGCTATGCTGAGGACTGTGTCTGAGACATCTGTGTCCCTTAGCTTGGATCCCTGGATTATATAATTAAAACTGAATAGTTCCTAGACTGGCCCGGTTTCTTATATGGGACTCAGAATAGTATCCAAAGTAGCTCAAGTCTGAGACCCCTTTGTAAAGGAATCACAGGTCACAGTCAACGAACATAGTGGAGTAGGACAACTTTGCATGTCTGCGAGGGGTGTCTCTTTTATCAATAAAGGCTGTTAGGAGCCTGTTGTTACAGCACCACTAACCCTTATCCACTTGTAGGACAAGAAACATTTCCCTCTGGAACCCAGGTAGATACACAAAGGTTTGGAGGGAGCCCCTCCCAGTGTTATTCCTTATGTCAGTGACCCTGGGCTTCAGTGTGCTGTTGGGTGAACTACTTACTGACCTGTGTCCCCAGCCATCTCACCTGCTGCTCTCCGAGGTTCTCATGGAATCCCTGTCACTGCTGGTGTCACCCTGGACTTGGATGATGGAAAAGTCACAGTGTTGGGTGAGAACTCAGGGAGCTCTTCTCTCAAGGACATTAGGAGTAAGAAGCCTAGAGGTCTTAGGTGAAGCCTAGATGTTGGAGAGAAAACAAAGAGATGTCCTTGGAGATCGGGATTTCCATGAGGGTGAGAGGTTTGTTGTCACACTGGGGCATCCCCAGGGTTGATTCCTCAGAGGTCCTCATTAGGGGTCTGTGTTCAGTGCTCCCAATGTGCAGTCTGTCTGCTTGGGCCAAAGAAATAAGAGTGGGAAAAAAACGAGGGAATGGTTGCCACTCCTCATGAGCAGATATTCCCACCTCCAGATAACACCTTACAGACATAATTACAGGCCAAACCAATCTACATACTCCCCCACGAGATTCCCTTCTTGTGGGACTCTAGGTTGTAAAGTTCACAGTTAACAGTAAGCCTCACAGTGAATGTGGCCATTGTGAAACTGTTTGTATGATGAAACTCATCTGGTTGGAGCTGTGTCCCATGCAGCATTGCTAAGGTCATTTCTTCATTAGCACATCCTAGTCTTGATAATGGGGTTAAATTCCGAACCATTTTCTTCTATATGATATCAGATCCCTATCTGGAGGGGGTCTTCCTCCACCTGTCTTCTCTTTCACAGGGGAGCCCTTGTCATCCTCGAGAGCACAGACATCCTTGAACCCATTCACAAATCTCCCTACTGGTGTAGCTGCACCTGAGCTTACAATCTGGTCCATGGTAACCAAGGCAGCATCTTCATTGCACTGGAGCCCCTTCCAGACCACACGGGACTTTCATTCCTCCACTCTGATATGCCTTATTTATAAGTTCCACCTGATGTTCACAGTTCACAAACCTTCTCACATAAGCCTCCTAAGAACCAGGAAGACAAATGCATCCACCAGTGACGCCAGCCAGTCACCACTGAACACAAAACAATACAGAGATGATTGCCACTAGGGCTCCATTTCCGAGCTACATATGTCTGGACTATGAGTCTGGTGAAGGTCAAGATGAAGAGGTATCCTCCTGTGTAACCAGTAGCACATACTCTGGCATTCTCTGGTGAACACAAGGCAATTATATTTATAAAGTATTGGGGATTGTCACATCAGGCCACTCAGTGGGTGGTAGAACAATGTTTCAAATCATATTTTTTCCTTAAAAACTTTTTCAAAGATAGGTGCAAAAGTATCTTCTCTGTCATCAATTGCAGATGAAGTAGTTGGCAGGAAGGAAATTTGTTGACATACCTTCATGGCTCATATCCTTGTTGCTTGTTCCTAAATTTACCCTTTGCAGGCATGAGTACCACACCAGTCTTATCACCCCTTTCTTTCTTCCAAATGGATTTTTCACCCATTCTCCAGCCACATCCTCAGTAACCTCCAATGGGTTTGGGTGAGGATCTATTAAGGCACCTCTGGCGATGAGCTCGTGGAGTTGCTATCTCTGCGTGGAGCCCGTGAGAGAAGAACATCGGATGCAAGAGGCAGGGTTAATCACAGGCAGTTCCATGGCAACTCTCCAGGTTCCAGGGAGGAGAACACTGAGTACAAAGAGAGTTAACCTGGTTAAAAAGTGTCGTTTGCTTCCCCATGTTTCTTCATTGGGCATCTAGAGATTTGTGTAAGGTCCCAGGATCCTTTGGGAAATCCTGTGACGTTCCCTTTGTATGTCTGGCTCACCTTGTTTATAAGTTAGAGGCAAGAAAGAAGTGCCCCGAAGCAGATGGCAATGATGGTACTATGGTTTGAATGAGGAATGACCTCCACAAGCTGTTGTGTGTGAGCACATGGTCCCTAGTTGGTGGTGCTATGGGAGAACCCTTAGGAGGTACAGCCTTGCTGAAGGAAGTGCATCACAGGGGGCCGGCTTTGAGGGTGTACAGCCTCACCCCACTTCCTGTCCTCATTTTACTGCTTCCTGTATGTGGATGAAAATAAGATCAGCCAAACTGCCATTCCTGCTGCCATGCCATGCCATGCCTTCCTTGCCATTATGGACTCTCCCTCTGGAAATGTAAGACAAAATAAACTGCCTTTTTTTTTTTTTTTTTTTTTTTTTTTTTTCTATGTTGCTGTTGTCCTTGGTGTCTTATTACAGCAACAGAAGAGTAAGTACAGATCTCACCTATGAGGACAGGGAGATTCAGGTTTCTTTTCTTGTTCCTGGGCAGGTTAACATGGGGAGATTATGTTTTTCTTTGTTGTTGTTGTTGTTGTTTTGGTTGGTTTGGTTCTTTGAGACAGGGTGTCTCTGTATTGCTTTGGCGGTTGTCCTGGAACTAGTTCTATAGACCAGACTGACCTCGAACTCACAGAGATCCGCCTGCCTCTGCCTCCCGAGTGCTGGGATTAACGGTGTGCACCACTGATGCCCGGCGGGAAGATTATGTCTAAA